AAGTTCAGTGTTGCTTTTATTATATGGCTTTCACCACAAGTTTCCTCTGCCTCAAATTGCAAATTGCTAGCTTTTGAGATTTGGGGAGCAGAGGGAAACCATCACTATGACAATTGCAATATTTTGATTAATATCTAAGACCCAGTTTGCCCCTGAAGTATAGCAGTTAATTCTGTAAGGTCCATTTATTTCCACACATTTAGATTTTAGGTCTATTAGTGTGAGTTCCTAATATTCTCTGGAGATTATTTGTCAGTACAAACCACTCGTTATTTTCACTACATTGCACTTTTCTTCCCTCTAATATCAGGACAGGATTGATTGCGTTATTTCACCATTTCAATTCTCTTCGCACTTCAAACTCTGTTTTCAGTATATCCAGTCTCAGAACATTTTCTTGGCAGTGGAGCTCAGATATCAAGATAGGAATAGTTACCCATAGTAGATATGGAGTAAGAAATGTATGCTCTAGAGGAACATTGCAGCCTTTGAAAATATCATCTTATCTTTTGGATTTCTGTAGTTTCTCCCTAAATCTACAAAAGGTATTGTCCTCTTCCATACAGCAATTTCATTTAGTGCTGTGCCTCCAAAGATAGGACTGGAAAACTGTTAGCCTCTGCTTGGGAGTTCTCTGTTACGGGGCTATGAAAACCACAACACACACACAGATTAAGTAGAAATAAAAAACAAAAGATATTAAATACAGAGTTATCCCTTGATTTTTGTGAAAGGTTTTGAGTCTCCTATGATATTTCTTGGCCCATAACTTCTTTATGTTGTTATAAGGAGGTACTCTTATTTTAACAATATATAAGTCTCATTCTGAATCTGGGTTCTATCTGTAGAAGCATTAAGAAGAAGTATTTGGTGATCCTACAATGGAAAAATTTTTGCATTTTTGAAAGTAAAATATCCCAGTCCCTTTTTATAGTCATGGTGATGTGGAGAGGAAAGAAAGAACAGTTATTATTACCTATATATATTATTACCTATGCTATACCTTATTAGGAAACTCAATGAAAAAGAAATTATTACCCTGTTTTAATGATAAAGAAAAGTTATTAAATCAACGTGATTAGTAAGGTTATATAAATCTAACACAACTTCGTGGCTGATCTAGAATTTATACATAGGTCTGCCTAACTGAGTTTCATGTTCTAATCCCAAACACTGACCCTGATGGGATCTGAAAACAAGAGTTTGAGTGGTAAGAACCTTGCCAAGGAAGTGTAGCTTTCTCATATGTGATGCGGCAGAAGCAGTTCCCAGAGATCTGAGGCCGGGGAGGCCCTCGGACAGTGGTGTCCATTAGGAGTCACAGCAATTTCTCTGTCGGAGGTAGTCCAGGCTCCCTGGGCAGCCGGGGGCAGGGAGCCTCGCATGATCGGATGATAACATGAAGATTATGTTATCATCCGATCATCCACACCACACCTCGGACCTATTTGTCTATTTTAAATGCTTTTTAAAACTTTTCTGTAGTTACTGTTATCATGAACGACTAGAAGTCCGCCATCCTCATTTGATAGGTCAAAAAAAGAAATGAGCTATGTACTATAAGGAATGGGAAAATTCATCTTACTTTAAATAGAAAAGTGGAACCTTTTATATGTCTTATCTAGCAAATTTTGCATACTTTATTATAATAGTTTATTGACAGGAAACTGCTTTTTTGGTCTCTACATGTGACTAGCTTGAATACCCCCTAAAGGAGTGGCAGTGTTATTCTTATTTTGTTTCTAAAAGATATCTTACTTTTCACAAACTTAATTACATTTTATTTTAATTTGATAGATTTCATCCTCATTAACTAAAGAAACCAAATCCTGCATTTGTCACTAAGTTAACATAATAAGTGTGTTTAAAAGAATCATGACAGCAAAATGTTGATGGAGTGTTTATACAAGCAGCATGTTGGAAAATGGTATTTCAGTGTTCCCAGAAAACTGAATTGCACCCCAACTTTTCAGAAAGTTTTTGTTTCTAAGATTGCCATACAAAGGAAAATCTGTCTAGTTCATTGAATTGTTGACTCTACATCAAGAGTTGAAATGTGTACTCTAATGCACTTGCTTTGATCTCTCATTTGACTGTTTATCAAAGCTGATTACATTCTGAATACACAAATCCTCTTAGCTTCAAAATCATGTAAAAATAATGGATAAGAGAGCATTTTTAAGTATTCTCTGCTATCCCAGTTTGGTTTTATGATTGTAATATGGCTATTAGGTTGGGGAAGAGGGTCTGTTTTTATGTTTAGTTCCCTTGGTAAGATCCAGTCTTTTGCCACATTGGATTAGAATGTTTTTTTCAGCCAAACTTGCCCATGCAGTGAAGCAAAAGCTGTTTTAGTACACATCAAAAGGAATCATTATGAACATATGAAACTCACTTCATTCCACTCACCACAGTTTAGGGGCTTCCACTTTTTGAGAAGCTTTAAGTATGTGCTTTCTTTATCTGCATATAAGTTGAAACATAATAAAATAGCAGTTGATGTATTCAATTAAAGATAATTATATATTATATCACTTTATAAGTTTTAAGAGCTTAAAGTCCAACATTTTCAAAGAACATTTATTTAGTCTCTGCTAATTATTGGAGGCACTATGCTAAATAGTTTATACATGTTAACAGATTATTTGCCTAAAATTACATAGCTAATTTTAGTGGCAGAATTAGGAACAGAACACAGATCTCTAGCATCTCATTCTAGCACATTTTAAATTTCATAAATCATTTACTTGATTCTTCTAACGTAATCCAGAAATTTTCTTCCAATCTCAGTCTTAATCTCTGTATTTTAAAAAAGGACAAAAATATACACGTGAGGCCAATTGGAAGAATGTCCTTCCTGAAAATGGCATGCATTGTGGTGCTTTGTTGTTTTCTCTTAAACACGCTCTGTATGGTTCTAGAATTGCTTCTTGAAGCAAACTATTATCAAGCCAGGCAACCCAGAGCAGATTTTGTAAGACAATATGTTCATGTTGGAGCCTTTCCAAAGTAAAATCATGGATCATTTATTCTGTTTTTTAATATGGCTAACAAATGACCTGTAAGTTCTTGTGAACAATCTAAAGTACAAAAATGGAAAGGGTAAAACAGCACTCTCTGCTCCCAGCTCAAATGATCCCTGCTAAAGTCGACAGTCCTGGCCAAGAGTGGTAGTGTGACCCTCGATTATGGCTTTGCAGATACTGTACGGACCTTTGAACAAACACTATCTTGAGGTTGTAAAACATTAACCAGCCCAAGCTGGACTATTGTGTTTTAAGTAGTGATAGAGACACTTTGACAATTCTCAAATGACCATGGGTTTGATTTCATGCACAGTTCCAATTTTTTATAATCAACTTGCCCTACTCCACTTTGTCTCTTCATTTCTCCAAATGGTCACAAGTGTGACCTAAAAGAGAGTGATTATAAAAAGGCAACTTCTTCTTTTACGAGTTCTAGGTTTTCTTTAATTGAGTTTTTTTTAACTTTTTGTCCTGTCACTCAGTGATTTTCAAAGTGTGTGTGACAAACCAGTGGTGAAGCATGAAATCAATTTAGTGGGTCACAACTACACTTTGAAATCTAATAGAATGGACTAAAAATATGAGAGAGCATTGCATGAAGTAAGAGTATTTTTGACACTTTTGTGTCAGTTACGTGTGTGTGTGTGTGTATGTGTGTGTTTAGAGTAATACATAAATTCTTAGAATGCTTGCTGGTCAAAAAATGTAAAAGTCACTGCCACACCTATTTTATGTGATAGAGTTCTTATGTTATTTTAAATCATTTCAAATAGTGATATAATGGCTTTCTCAAATTTAATCTTTGAGTTTGTATCAGGCTACCATTTATTTTTAAACAAAAACAACGTGGATGGAACTGGAAGGTATTATGCTGAGTGAAGTAAGTCAATCAGAGAAAGACAAGTATCATATGATCTTACTGATATGAGGAATTCTTAATCTCAGGAAACAAACTGAAGGGTTGCTGGAGTGGTGGGGGTGGGGCGTCTGGGTGGTAGACATTGGTGAGGGTATGTGCTATGGTGAGCGCTGTGAATTGTGTAAGACTTTTGAATCATAGACCTGTGCCTCTGAAACAAATATACATTATATGTTAAAAAAAAAGAAGAAGAAGATAGCAGGAAGGGAAAAATGAAGGGGGGGGGAATCAGAGGGGGAGATGAACCATGAGAGACTATGGACTCTCAGAAACAAACTGAGGGTTCTAGAGGGGAGGGGGGTGGGGGGATGGGCTAGCCTGGTGATGGATATTAAAGAGGGCATGTACTGCATGGAGCACTGGGTGTTATACTCAAACAATGAATCATGGAACACTGCATCAAAAACTAATGATGTAATGTATGGTGATTAATATAACATAAATAAATAAATAAATAAATAAATAAATAAATAAATAAATAAATAAAAATGATAGCAAATAAATGAGTATACTATTGCCTCCCTACTTTTAATTAGTAGAAAATGTTAGTGTCTTGTACCTCTGTAGAAATAACCGTTGGATCTGTTCATTTGTAGTCTGGTGCAGAGAGCACTGGTCAAGGTCACATACCATTTCTATTTAGTTTCTTGACTTAGTTTCTGTACCTTTGCTTGAGAGAATTATTTTTAACTAGTTATTAGCATTTAAATGCTTGACAAACACATTTACTGTGAATATGAAATTAACTACTGTTTTGTTTTCTCAGGTTAATGTGACTGACTTAAAGAAATTACTTAGAAAAAAAGAATTACTTAGAATTTTAAATTTGTAATTCGTTATATATCTTATGTGTGTTGGTACCTATCATTAACTTAATGAAAATTAAATATAATCTATTTAATCATATTTATTTATAGATTTAAAATAAACTCTTTCTGGAATGCATTAGAATTAATAATGAATAAAAATATATTTCATATTATTTGGATCATATTTTGCTTAAGATAGTATAACTATCATGTATCTCATTTCTTTTTCTTTTCTTGTATTTTCAGCTAAAATTGATCAAGAGGCAGAGGAAAACTCACTGACAGAGACTCATAAATGGTGAGAAATTACTTTCCTTTAATATAAAAATTTATTCTCAGAATAGGTTTATAAAGTACTTATTAGTATATCTCAAGGACCCAATTATTAGCTCAGTTTTTATTTTCAAGCATAAAAGAAAAAGAAAATAATAGTTTACTTTAATATTATATTGAATTTCTGAATTTTATTTTTTTTTTAAGATTTTATTTATTTATTTGAAGAGAGAGACACAGCGAGAGAGGGAACACAAGCAGGGGGAGTGGCAGAGGGAGAAGCAGGCTTCCTGCCGAGCAGGGAGCCCGATGCGGGGCTCGATCCCAGGACCCTGGGATCATGACCTGAGCCGAAGGCAGACGCTTAATGACTGAGCCACCCAGGCGCCACCCTGAATTTTATTTTTATGACTCTGGATGATGTATCAAATTATTGTGAATACCTTAGTACCTTCTCTTTTGGATGAGATTTAGGACTGTGGAAGTACAAGAGAAGGGAAGATAGCAGGAACCTGTTTCAAGAAAGAAGGGTGAAGAGTTTGGTTATAGGGAACTATTGAGTTTAAGTAGGAAGCCAGGAGCTTCCGTTGCATAAACTTTTGCTTTCAGAATGGAGATTTGCAATCATGAGTGAGTGAGCATAGAAGAGTATCTCATAAATCTCTTGGTTCCTCTGCCTCAGTTTTCTCCTTTCTCTCTGTATTAGTCAGTGTTCTCCAGAAAACAGAACCAATAGGATGTACGTGTGTGTGTGTGTGTGTGTGTGTGTGTGTGTATGGAGAGACTGAGAGAGATTAGGGAATTGGCCCATAGTGGGCTGGAAAGTCCTAAAAGGAGTTAATGTTAACAATCTTGAGTCTGAAAGCATTCTAGAGACAGAATTCCAGAATTTCTTCCTATTAGAGTAACCACAGTCTTTTTTTCTTAAGACCCTCAACTGCTTGGATGAGGCCCATCCACATTATGGAGGGTAATGTGCTTTCCTCAAAGTCTACTGATTTAAATGTGAATCACATCTTAAAAATATTTTCGTAACATATACATCGATGTTTAACCCAAAACTGGTTGCCATACCTAGCCAAGCTGACACATCAAATTAACCACCACACTCTCTAAAGAAGTCTGATTACTCTTGAAGGAGAATTCTGATTAAAGAAGTTCTTTGCCATTACTTTACTAGGCAAGATCCTGTATATTCTGTGAACAGATATCACGTTTTTAGTTGTTTATTTAATATGACATATTGTGCTAGACAAATTGGTAAGGAGAATTGTTCAGTTTCAATGAAAAGCAAAAACAGGTGAAGACCAATGGCTTCCGGGGAAGATGGCAGAGTAGGAGGACCCTAAGCTCATCTGGTCCCATGGAAACAACTAGATAACAGCCACATCAGTGTAAATAAGTCAGAAAATGACCCAAAGATTGGCAGGACAGACTCTTGATAACTAAATGTAGAGAAGAGAAGAGGCCACACTGAAGAGAGTAGGAAGTGTGGAAACACAGTTGGGAGCTAAGGAGACCCATGGGACCATCCATGGGAGGGCGAGACTCCACTGGCATAGCATGGAAAGGGGAGAGAAACAGATCCTCACACCAAAGATCCTACATGGGAAAGATGAATCCCCATAAGATCTGGCTTTGAAAATCAGAGGGGCCAAATTTCAAGAGGTCTTAAAATCAGCAGGGCTTAAACCCTGGAACATTAAAAATCAGCAGGGTCCTGCAAGAGCCAGTAGGGCAAACAGAGAGGAAATTGAATCCCCACCCTTAAAGAGACAGCAAAACCAAAAGCCCTATTGAGATACAGCATAGAAGCAGCAGTTTGAAAAACTCCTGCAGTGTATGGGAGGGAGATTTGTTTACTAATATCAGAGCATATGCTGGAAGGTGCAGGGATCCTTGGGAGATTTCTTCAGGAACAAAGGAACTGGTGAGCACCATTTCGCTCCCCCAACCCATAGCCTAGACACATGACACCTTTGGGAGCCTGCATTACACAATACTCGCTACCTAACCTGAGAAGAGCAAGCCCAGCCCTAGCATTCTGTGGACACACGCCTTCCAGCCAGGCCTCAGCTCCCCATTCCCTTCCACAGTAGATCCATGCAAACCTTGCTAACACTGAGCATCCTGCCTATGCATGCTTCTGTGCATACACCCCCTCCAACCCTGCCTGCTTCAGTCCCCAGGAGCTGCAGGTCCCCTCCTGCCTAAGTGGACCTTGCTGACACCTTGCTCCCCACTTTCACTGTGTCCTGAAGTTAGGTGCTACTGCAAATCTGACAGACACTTGATAAGACTCAACTTAAGCCCAATGTGGCCCTAGACTGACCCACTAACACCACAGGGACCAAACCCTGCCCACAACAAGCAAAGAAAGCCATTGCAGAGAACTGGACTGAAGACAAAAGCGGCTCAGCCACAACAGAAGTGTGCATGCAACACACATAGGAGATACCCCTGGAGCATCAGTTTCTGGTAAACAGAGGATATTGCACTGCAGGACACTACAGGACCTCTTCTTTTTTTTTTTTTAAGATTTTATTTATTTATCCGACAGAGAGAGAGATAGCGAGAGCAGGAACACAAGCAGGGGGAGTGGGAGAGGGAGAAGCAGGCTTCCTGCTGAGCAGGGAGCCCGATGTGGGGCTCGATCCCAGGACCCTGGGATCATGACCTGAGCCGAAGGCAGACGCTTAACGACTGAGCCACCCAGGCGCCCTGGGACCTCTTCTTTTTAAGACCACTACTGTCAAGAGCAGAAGATGTAACTGACTTTTCTAGCATTTAGAAAGAAACAGGCATAGAATTAGACAAAATGAGGAGACAGAGGAGTAAGTCCTGAGTGAAACAACAGGACAAAATCACAGCAAAAGAGCTATACAGAACAGAGATCAGTAATATGCCTGATAGAGAATTTAAAGTAATGATCATAAAGATAGTCACTGGACTTGAAGAAAGAGTGGAGGACCTCAGTGAGACTCTTAACACTCTTTTTTTTTTTTTTTAAGATTTTATATATTTATTTGAGAGAGAGAGAATGAGAGAGAGAGAACACCTGAGAGGGGATAGGGTCAGAGGATGAAGCAGACTCCCTGCCGAGCAGGAAGCCCGATGCGGGACTCGATCCAGGGACTCCAGGATCATGACCTGAGCCGAAGGCAGTTGCTTAACCAACTGAGCCACCCAGGCGCCCTAGACTCTTAACACTCTTAACAAAGAGATAGAAAATATAAAAAAGAACAAATCAGAGATGAAGAACTCAGTAAATGAAATTAAAAATACACTAGAAGGAATAAATAGTAGGCTAAAGGAAGCAGAACAGATTGGTGACATGGATGACAGAGTAATGGAAAATAATCAAGCTGAAGAGGAAAGAGAAAAGAAATAATAAAAAATGAAAATAGACTAAGGGACCTCAGTGATACCATCAAGTATAATAACATTCTCATTATAGGGATCCCAGAGGAGAAGAGAGAGAAAAGGGGGCAGAAAATTTGTTTCAAGAAATAATAGCTGAAAACTTCCTGAATCTGGGAAAGGAAACAGAAATCCAGATCCAGGATGCACAGAGATCCCCCAACAAAGTCAACCCAAGGAGGTCCACACCAAGACACAGCAAATAAAATGGCAAAAAGTAGTGATAGAGAATTTTTAAAGCAGCAAAAGAAAACAGTTACATACAAGGGAAACCCCATAAGGTATTCAGTGTTGTTTGTTTTTTTGTTGTTTTTTAGCAGAAATTTTGCAAGCCAGAAAGGAGTGGCATGATATATTCAAAGAAAGAAATGTGCAGCCAAGAATACTCTATGCAGCAAGGCTATCATTCAGAATAGAAAGAAAAATAAAGAGCTTCCCAGACCAAAAAAAAAAAGTTAAATTCATGACCACTAAAGGGAATTAAGAAGCACAAACTTCCAGTTATAAAGTAAATAAATCATGGTGATGAAAGGCAGAGCATAAGGAAATATAGTCAATAATACTGTAATAATGTATGGTGACAGATGGTGACTACATTGATCATGGTGAGCATTTTTTATGTATATAACTGTTGAATCCCTATGTTGTACACCTGAAACTAACATAATATTACATAAACTATATTTCAGAGTAAAAAAAAACAGCAATAAAAAAAAAGAACCTATGTCCTTACATCTCGTGACTTAGATCTTTTTTCCTACTATGTGTTTTGTAAATAAATACACATCCTCTTAATGTCAAAAAAAAAAATTCATGACCACTAAACCAGCCCTACAAGAAATGTTAAAGGGGATTCTTTGAGTAAAAAGGAAAGACCATAGAGAGGAGTAACAAATGTAGGAAACACAAAAGCAGTAAAAATAAGTATATCTGTAAAAGTCAATCAAGGTATTAACAAAATAAGAGGATGTAAAGTATGACAACATATACCTAAAATGTGAGGGGGAGAAGAGTAAAGAATGGACCCAAACTTAAGGGACCAACAAGTTAATATAGACTGCTATATGCAGAAGTTGTTATATACAAACCTAATGGTGACCACAAATGAAAAACCAGTAATAGATACGCAAAAAAGTAGAACGGAATCCAAGTATATCACTAAAGAAAACCAGCAAACCATGAGAGAAGAAAGCAAGAGAAGAAAGGAGCAGAGAAGAACTACAAAAACCATTAAACAAGTAACAAAATGGCAATAAGTACATATCAATCAACAATTACTCTGAATGTAAATGGACTAGATGCTCCAATCAAAAGGCAGAGGATGACAGAATGGATGGCAAAGCAAGACCCATCTCTGTGCTGCCTGCAAGAGACTCATTTCAGACCTAAAGACACATACAGATTGAAAGTGAAGGGGTATATGAGGAATTCTTAATCTCAGGAAACAAACTGAGGGTTGCTAGAGTAGTGGGAGTTGGGAGAGATGGGGTGGGTGATAGACACTGGGAAGGGTATGTGCTATGGTGAGCGCTGTGAATTGTGTAAGACTGTTGAATCACAGACGTGTACCTCTGAAACAAATAGTACATTATATGTTAAAAAAAA